ATAATAAATTTTATTTATATAACCCTTTTGCTGATTTTTAAAGTGTTACATAAACAGGACAGGTGAAATATTATCATGTAAAGCAACCACAAACACATGAAAAGACCTAGATTTACAATTTATGATTAAAACTCTACTATCTACACAATATACATAGACATAAAATGTAAAAACTTAAATATCTTAGAAACAGTAACCAATCAGTTGTTTTAATTGTCATATTTGAATTCAGCACATCAAAATACATAATAAATAGCACATTTTATCTCTAAAGCAGACGACTTCTCAAAAATTGTAGACCAGTGTTATAGATTACCAATTCATATCTCGAACCTACTTATCTGGAGCCTCAGATATTTAAGTAAAATTAGGGAATGTTTAAAAGGCACAATTATGGTTATTTTATTTCTTATTGGCTTGTGGACTCCTCTGTTCTAACCCCAGATGCTTTTGTTTGCTTGTAACCTTTAAGCTGAATCCCCCAAAAAACTATTTTGGGTGCCTGATTTTTGGAATTGCTCTTTTAAAATCAAGCAAAAGCCTATGTTCCAGATGTATTTTCTTTCTTTTTCTTTTTAATAAAATTTACCTTTTTAAAGAACAGGATTGGATTTTGGTGTCCTAAGATGTTTGTGCATGTTGTTTGATTAGCTGGTAGCCACAACTAATTTCATTTGTTTTCTTTCTCAGCTCTTCCCCGGAGGGGAGGGTGAAAGGGCTTGAGAGTACCCAACAGGAGGAATTCCCAAGTATTCCTTCCTGGGCTCAAAGGGTTTTTTTTGCATTTGGTTGGTGGCTGTGTTTACCAAGCCAAGGTCAGAGAAAAGCTGTAACCTTGGGAGTTTAATACAAGCCTGGGGTGGCAAGTATTAATTTTTAAAATCCTTGTGGGCCACACTTCGGAGTGACAGAGTCAGATTCAGCCTTGACACACGTAGATCAAAGAGGCTTATTATTTTACCCTATAGGTTATTCAGATAATGGAGACTTCCTGTTCCAGAGGGTCAGATATTGTTGAAACTAGTATGGGGGTATGTTGTGTCCCTGGGCTATATGGCCTTTTGTGATTATATATACTGCTGTGTATGCAAGCATATTTCATTAGGTTGGCTAAGAATATGAACTAGGAGAGCCTGATATCTCTTTCCATTCTATAAATTGACACCAGAGATTGGCAATGAGATTGCTCCCTCATTCCAGTAGAGGAAAGCATTCTTTTTTCAGGTTATTTGTTAGGCAGAGACATGGATGTGATATTTTATTGCAATTAGAGGAATATAGACTATATTTTGAAAAAGCAAATAAGAAAAAAGTCCATTATCAAGTGTTCTAATTTCAAGAATGGTTTCTTCTGTGGTACTAATAGATTTTTTTTCTCACTGTTAAAGCAATTAATGCAGAATCAACACTTGTTCACCTGGCCCCAAGGCAGACCACTGTCTTCAGTAACACGCCACTTTCCTAGTGTAGAGAGTTCTGGTATGGAGTGGGCGAGTTGTGATTGGTTGGGATACATAACGTTTGGTACAGAGAAAGATAGACCCTGGGTAGTTGAAAGCTTGAAACCTCCCATAGGGACAGTTATTCGGTGTGATGGCTTGGAACCGTCAGTTTCACATATTATGTATTGTGCCGTTAGTGATGCCTATGTAGTAACTTTAATTATATACCACCCTTTTCTCAAAATGGTGAGGGCGCTGTACTGCAGAATAAATACAAATACAATATAATAAAACATGCTAAACTGTCGCCCTTTTAAGATACAAATAGTTAAAAACAAATGAGTGAGTCAAATTTTAGAAATGTGAAGACAGTGATTGAACAGGAATGTGATAAATAAAAGGTCAAGAGTGGCTATTCTAAACACCTGTGGGGAGAAATAAAACTTTAAGATGTTTTTTAAAGTGGGATAAAATGGAGGTGTATTTTGGGGGAAGGAAATTACATGTTATAGGTCCCACTGCAGTAAAAACCTTGATTGCCTGTCAATGTCAGATATAGTGGCAAAATTCTAAGCACTGGGTAGTGTGTGAGTACAGAAATCCATCATTAAAGGCATGAGTAGTAGGCCCCAGAATTTGGAATTGTAAAGGTCTTTTAAAAGCAAGCATGTCAGTTTTAAGTTAATCTGCCAGTTTCTAGGCAGTCAGTGTAAATCTTGCACAGCAGCTCAAGACAGTGAGCAATTATGCCACTGTACTCTGAACAAGTTGCAAATGATTGAGTGACACCACAAAGAGCTCATAAAGAGAGAATTCACCAACTGAGTTTTGTGGGTATGAGGGCATGTTTTGCTGTTCCAAATTTATCACAAGCTACATTCACTGACCAACAAAAAACCCCAAACCTTCTCATTAACAAGGAGTTAAGATTGCCCAGTGGTATCTTGTGTCCTTCCAAACATCAAGTTCAGCAAAACTTGAAACTTTGAAAATCAGGAAAGAGAGTTAAGGTACATGTCTGTGCAACTTTAACTCTGTGCAAACAAAGTAGAAATCAGTGATGCAGAGTTAGGGTATTTAGTGTAATTTGCTTATTTACAAAATGTATACGACTTCTGTTCCATTTAACAGAGGTGGTTACAAACTGTACACATGCTATTTTCTTGCAGAAATCTTATGGCATCACTGCCCAGTCACCAAGAAGCAACTCTTATCATCTAACTGATTAAACATACCGCTTTCTCTTCCAGTCACAGCCCATGGGCTTTTCACCTGGGAAACTCCTAGTCCAAGGCTCCTCACCTAGGTTCAAGTATTTTGAAAGGTGATGTGGACATTAACCTTCCTTTTGTGAACCCACTGAACCTCAGAAAGGGTTTGACTTCCCATTCACAGGAAAATACTTTAACCTACATGATCTTCTTACCTACTTTCAGAATTAGGTACTGCGTGGGTATTTTAACTCATTTTATCCTGGGTGCTTATACATCAGTAAGGCATAACATGCACAACATTAGCATTTGTTCCCATAGCAATCATCATTTTGCTAGCATTGAGCCAGATTCTGCAAAGTTCTGAGTGCTCTCAATTCTCATTGACCATTGGATTTATCAGTACAGTTTAAAAGTATGCTTCAGATTGTATGTGCTGCACCTGCTCTCTTTCAAAAAGAAGCCACATCTGTTTGCTCTGTAAAAGTTACATATTAATGAATAAAACAGAAGAGCTGTTTCATTGCCATCTTTAACACCCCATTCTAAATGGTAGAGACTTTATTTCATTATTTGAAGTGGAATGAGTGATAATATTTCACTTACATTACATTACATTACAAATTGTGGAAGGTCTATTGAATTAATGGAGTGGGTGATCTAATGTATTGAGACAGCTACTGTTGGTGTCTGATTTATTCTGCAAGTTAGTTACCATTCATTTGCCCTTTGCATTTGTTTATAAAATACATTATATCAGAAAAGTTGGTGTTTATTATTGAATATTTTAGTATGATCCACAATGTGCTAGGTACTGTCAACACACTAAGAAAGAGGGTTTATATGTCATTTAGAATGTATCTTCTTAAATTCTAGCCATTAATTGTTGCAATGCAAAGATATCTGTCATATAAGTGAAACACAAATTAAAGTAATATAATCCTTGTTAGAGTCTTAAGTTTTTGCTGAAATGTGTAATCCTTTTTTACTCTAAAATATGTACCTCTTTTTTATTACAGAAACCTTTGAAATGCTAATGAGACAGGCTGAGAATTACACAAGCATGCTTTTCTGCAACACATACAGAAACATGGCTGTTGAGGCTGCTACTGCTGTTCAAGAGTTTTTTACAGATGTGGGACTCTTTGTATTTGGCATAGACATTAGTACAGAAGAACTGGTGAACAGATTTTTTGACACCCTGTTCCCACTAGTCTATAATCATCTGATTAATCCTGGTCTAACTGACATTTCACTGGAATATTCAGAATGCATTCGAATGTCACAAAGAGATATCAGTCCTTTTGGTAATGTTCCAAAAATAGTCATGGGACAAATGGGGAGATCATTGTTATCCAGTCGTACTTTCTTGCAGGCCCTCAATTTAGGGATTGAAGTGATCAATACAACAGATCATTTGCAGTTCTCTAAAGACTGTAGCAGAGCCTTACTACGAATGCAATATTGCCCCCACTGCCAAGGAATGACTTTAAGTAAGCCATGTATGGGGTACTGCCTGAATGTAATTAGAGGCTGCTTAGCTAACATGGCAGAAATTGACCTTCACTGGCGGAGATATATTCAGTCATTGGAAGAGTTATCCAGTGCAATGCATGGGACATATGACATTGAGCATGTACTTCTGAACTTTCACTCAATTGTTAATGATGCTGTGACACAAGCTAGTATCAATGGACCAAAAGTAACTGAACAGGTAAGCACCTACCTATTTTCTATTTTCCATGCTTATTGGAAACACAGCACATGGAAACTAACTTAGAAAATTGATGGATATTTGATCATTGTTATACCAATTAACACAATGTTTGTGTCCAAAAAGGGCTTCATACAGCAAAACAGTTGTACAAAATTGTCAGTTTTTTCTTAGTTATTCACATGACTTGCTATTTTCTCAAATACTGTATTCACAACCATAACAGAATGAGGAGTCACCATTTTTTTAGCATTTGCAGATTTTTTTTTTCAGGGTGAAAAGCTAGTTTTCCAGTTGTGGAATGAACTTGTAATGTTTACCAGAACCATCTAAACAGTTGAAGTGATAATGAAAAATGTTTCACACTTATGAAACCACAACCTGATTTTTTGTAATCAGTTGTGTGAGAATTTATTTACACAAATCAGTAGAAAACTCTATTTTACTTCTAGCTTTTTGTCATTTTGTCCATTTAGCCGTTACACTTTTCAGTGCATTCGCTGAATGGCCTTTACTGAGAATTCTACAACTGTTGAATAAACAAGAAAATCCTGAGTTCTGTTGAGTAAGAGTGAGTGTTGGAAAGGGTAATTAAGTTTGGTGTTTTAAAATACTAATAAGCAAAAACTAAATTGCACGGTGAAAGCTAATTCCAGAGACTTTCTGCTTTTGTGAAAAATGCTAGGGATTAGGCAAATGCGTGCCAGATTTGGTTCATAATATTAAATGAATTGCCGGACTGGTGAAGGTGTTTATTACTCTATCACATACATTGTAACAGGTTTGGAAATCTCATGGACTTTATACCATGATCGAAGCCCCTTATTTTCATGAACTAGAAATATAAGATCTGATGTCTAATATATATCTAACTATAAAGATGACAAGTAATAAACATCCCTTCCCTTTAGATGCCAATGGTTTGTCTTCAACATCTATGGCCATAGGTAGATTTATTTGAATATTTTATTAGCATCAATGGAGTGTACATTTCGTTTGGAACGAATAGCACATCCTTCCTTGGGGACGTTTCGGGGAAGAGTAACTTGCATGAGAAGCTAACTTAGCTATGAACACATGAAAAGTGCAGAGTTTTTTTTTAATACCAGGGCATTAGTTAAAGCTAATGTAGCTGCAAATGAATGAGGCATATCTATGCCAACAAATGTTAACTCTTACTCTGTTATGCTTATTCCATAGTATGTTGTGTAAGTACACTTTCACCTATAACTTCCATGGGTGCTGCCATCGTCTGCTTAACTACCATGGTGATGTGGGTAGCATAAGAACCTAGAATAGAAAGATGGGTTTTTTTTAAGAGGATGTACAGATCAATTTTTGGTTGGATGTGACTGTGATATGGTGTGGTGTCACCTCAGGTGCCAGTAATAATGCTAGGATTATCACAAACTCCTTCTCACTTGGTTTACCTGCTGCTGAACTGGCCTCTGTCCACAACAGAGCCTTATCTAATAGACTAGTGCCTGGTTCTCCTGCTCACTTCCATGGAATAGAGGGGAAAATAATGGGCTGACACATCTAAAGGGACACTTTGTCCCATTCCTAATCTCAAACAGCCCATGGAGATATGATAGGACATAAATGAAATCATCTATCACCTACTTCAGATCTTAGCCATACAGTCTGTTCCCCATCCTATATCTAGCCTCAGAGACTTGGGAACAGACAGAGCAGAGTCCTATCTGAATAGATTCCTGAAAGAGGTTTATCTTCACACTCTCATTTTACTATCGCACAGACAATTCCTCTATTTTTCTCCCCCACTCCTCCCAACTCCAGTCATTACTGTTACCCAGACATATCCTCACTTACCTGAATTAATTTGGTGGTTTTTCACCTTTTCCACTGCTCCCCAGGACCATACCAAAGATAGGAAGGTGAGAGTTACAGCAATATTGATGCCATTCTGGCTGAAGAGTCTCTTGCTCTAACCTACCATTGAACCTTTCAGTGTGTCTGTCTCTCAGAGTAGGTCTGCAATTGCAAAAAGTCAGTTTTCCATCCAGCACCAGACTGGTTGAAAATGGATACTTAGATGAAGTGATTACCCTTTGCATAGACCTTAAGAAGTGAACAAATATACCATGAACTTTGCACCAGCCAGCAGAATAACTACCATGTTAAACAAGTTAAACACAGCCTTAAGTTCCTTGTCTTAATGTGTATGTGTATGCACAAGAGTTCAAACAAAATAATAAATATCATATATAAAATAAAAGGAAGTTTTAAATAAATTCCAGCATGAACTGTTTTCTTAGAGCAACAACCTTTACTCTAGTCCGACAAGCTCATAGAACACAACCTTGAAATCTCATTCTGCTCCTTACAATATTACCCAGATTGAACCACTGCAGGAGGTGTCATTATTTTTCCTATCCATTAAAGCAGACTTCCTTATAGCTACTGTCTCTTGTCAGATGAAATTTTCATTTTCATTTTGCTGATTAAGTCAGACAAGTTGTCCTCAAAGCTGTCATAGCATTCACTCCCAAAATAAATTAAAGGCGTACTCTTCATTCTATTAAACATCAAACTCCAATCCTTAGGAGCAATGACAGTCTCAGGGCAGAGAAGTAATGCATTGAGATCTGATAGGTGACCACCTGGTCATGAATATATACATTCATCAAATTATACATATTGGTTATCCAGTCTTTAGCCAGTGTCTTTTTTATTAGCAGAAGTCTTTTCCACTCCTAAGTGCCCACAAGAAGGACGATATATACTGTATAATGTCCGTTAACTTGAGCTGTTAGCCAATAGTTATTGATAAGTTGTTTTCTTAAGGAGAAGAAATTAATTGAGTCAGGAATTTAATTGGTGCCATCCTGTTTGTTACACACAAAGTCCTGTTTCCCTGAACACAGTAGGAACAAACAACAGGAGGCAGTTTCGTTGCTCTCAATTTTCAAGCCTGCCTTTCCAGTCAGTCCTTTGTGTAAATGAAACTTTTTATTGACTTCCTTCTGGGGCCACACTCACATTGCTTATCTGGCTTTCTGTTGGCTTTTCTGTTTGCTTTCTACTTCTGATACATACAGACACACACAGCCCCACCAATCAATGCCCTAGACTCTTCATTTTCAGTCAGTCCCAGGGAACTCCTCTTATTCTGTCGGAGTTAGTTATTGCTCAGGCTTTCCAATCTGTTCCAATGCCTTGGGCAGTGGATTCTGTTGTATCAGCTATCTTACTCCATAAAGGAGCTTAATTGCTTCTTCCATTTAGCCTGAATGAAAGTTGGTAAGCATGCACATTGACTTCAGTGCAGTCAGTGGTCTGCAGGGATCAAAGGGATCAAAGACACACTTGTGAGCAGCCACAAATACCCTCCAGCACAACAATAATATTTTGGATGTCCAAAGTCCTCCTTCCCACCGCTGTGAAAATCCCATTATAATGGATCTGTGTACCTGAGCACAGTGAAGAATAGGATAAGGTATCTGAGCTTAACTAAAAATGTCTTTACTTCAACTAATAAGCTCCAGAGATCTGGCCCACATTGAAGACAAATATGTAATCAAGAATAGAGATGGAAATGCACATCCAACTATTTGAGTTTCTTTCATTATGGGGAATGAATGCTCAGCACAAGGACATGCTTTTTTCTCAAGATATTATTTTAACACAATCTGTAATTTAGGAAAGTACAATTGAATTAATCTCACTGTGGAACTTGTCTCAGTTGGAGAGAACTTCAGCAGGTGGGACATACCCTGTTGTCAGTGACTGATACAATTGGCTTTTCCCCCAAACTCCAAGCACTCTGAAGTACACATTGTAATGGATCTGTGGCACTTATTACTTGTATAAAGGACATTCTCAGGTAATCACAGATGAATTTTCTTAATCAGATGTCAGTTCCGACATGAGTTTTCTAATACAGTGTGTTGGCATGGTTCCCTTATGGTAAACACAATTACCATTACATTTTCTCTGGTGACTCTTTAATTCACCCAATAGTGCCTAACAACTCTAAAAAGGAGTCATTACTATCTATTGCAGTATTGCCAACTCTCACACTTGTATCACAAGTCTCACTGTATTAAGTATTCTTGTGAAAGCCCCAGCTCTTGGACACAAATGAGTATACAAGAATATCAGCTTTCATGTAAAATAAAAAATACACCTCTACCCCGATATAATGCTGTCCTCGGGAGCCAAAAAATCTTACTGCGTTATAGGTGAAACCGCGTTATATTGAACTTGCTTTGAGCAACCGGAGCATGCAGCCCCGTCCCCCCGGAGCGCTGCTTTACCGCGTTATATCCAAATTCGTGTTATATCGGGTCGCGTTATATCGGGGTAGAAGTGTAAAAGTAAGGCCAGGTCTATACTACAGACTTATATTGGTATAACTACGTCGCTCTGGGGGTTGAAAAATCCCTTGAGTGACATACCTATACCGACCTAACCCCTGGTGTAGACAATGCTAGGTCAGTGGGAGAGTTCCTGTTGACATAGCTACCACCTCTCGCAGAGGTGGATTAATTAAGCTGACGGGAGAAGTGTAGGAATGTCTTCACTTAAGTGCTACAGTGGTGCAGCTGTGCCGATGCAGTGTTTTGAAGCATAGATCTGCCCTAAGATTCTAGCCCTCAGTGTTGCAAAGAAAAGCTTGCACTTGTGATTGGAGTGTAAACATAAAGGCTCAAAAAATAAGACCTATAAAATTCAATCAATTTTTATATTTTAAAATTTCATATTTTGTTGTTGTTCCGAGTCTAGTTTTTGAATGCCTGGTACTGACAGTACTGCTGCTGTATTGAGGCCTTCTCAGTTAGGATCAGTTCAAAAACTGGGAGTCTTTCCATTCACTTCTTTGGGCTTTGGATGAGGTCTTGACTCTAATGCAGATCAGGGCAATAACCTGGCACAAATAGTCTCTCAAGGTTATAGTTTGCGGTTTTTTTGGTCTTTAACACAATAGACTATGATTCTTTGAGATATAATGGTCTAGTAAATTAGTGTAGCTTTTG